GGGGGTCAATTTTGGCCAACTTTTAGCTGACGTCATTTGTGAACGGTCCCTAGCCTAATAGTAATAGTAATAGGTGTTGATTGGGCATTAAACCTATGCCCTTTCACACTTTTACCCCTCCTACGTGGCTTGACAGTCCTGTCTCGAAATATCGGGTAGGCTCTACTTGAAGTAGTCCAACAGTATCAAAAGGGACTCAAATAAGTCTTATCACAAAATACTATTTAAAAATATTGATTGACCTTTGTCATACTCTAGTCTTGGTTTCGAATTTCGCTACAGGCTAGAATTTCAGAGTTCGAACAAAAGAGGATCCAAACATAAGTCAATCTCATTAATTTGAATAATTTTTCTCTTGTTCTAATTAAAAAACCCCACGAACAGTAAATGCTATTACATATTTGTGATCCTTATAAGGCTACGGTAAAAATAGAGTTTTTTTCTCACCACAATGTGATAAACTATGCCATGAAAATCGAGGACCCCATAATATACATGAAAATGTGCCCCCCCCCCCCCTTTCGACACCGTTTCATTCGCATAATAATATTATTATTAATATTACTGGAGATAACTTTATTCTCAACGGGGCGGTGCCATTGACTGAAGTGTTTTTAGGCCATTCCCAAAGGGGGGACATTAACTTGTTCTTATGCACAGTAAAATTGTAAATGGGCTGATTCAATAATGTCATGCTTATAACTGTGCCTGAATTGCAACAGGGAACTGCTGCTTTTTCTTTCCTAATCCTTACTATCGTCATTTTCCATCTACTTCTTTTGTATGTTTGTCACATTCTTGTGACCCGCTATTTCCGGGGTGCCTTGGTAGTCGGAGCAGCCTTTGTGCAGTTGAAGCTAGAGAGGTGAGCAGAGTAAGCCTGGTTCCCTGTAAAGGCTTCTCTGTTGACATACACCCCTTGGCGCTCATATGACCTTATGCAGTTGCGGACGCCGCAAAACCTCTACTAAAACAAACAAGGAGATAACCTTTCTACCCTGCTGTCCAGTACGTCGAGGTTGTGAGAGCGCGAACCCACAGTGAGCTCGCCAAGGCAGTGAGTGCTGTGTTGGGAAACAACTTCCAGGCGAAAATCATAGACGTCTGTGCGGGATCAGGACTTTCAGGATTATGGGTAACATGTGGTATTTTCTCTCTCTCTGTCTCTCTCTCTCTCTCTCTCTCTCTCTCTCTCTCTCTCTCTCTCTCTCTCTCTCTCTCTCTCTCTCCCCCCCCCCCCCTCCAAGCCATGTTTTTTTTGCTGAGACAATTGTTGTCTATTAATTGTTCGGGTAACTGTGCAATGTTTCAAAAGAAGGAAAAGTTAATAAAATTTTTACTTTGTACGATCTGTAAATATAGACCAAAGTGGAGTCCGCCAAAAGTGAACACGCTTTATTTTGAACAATCGGTTAAAGTGAGCGATATTCTGTGTCCTGATTGAAACGATATTTGTATTAAGTAAAAAAAATAGTGGATAAAATGAACCGGTTTCATCGGGAAATCGGATAAAGTGAACGCCCAAAATGAGTGACAGCGAAGAGACGGACCGACCGTGTCACAGTCGCCATGCTGTGAAAATAAAATTCCTTGCCTCGGGCATCGGCAGACAATCCCAGCTCGGGGCAATCTGGCGACGGCAATCTCAGTCAGAAAGAAAGAGCTCTAGTCTAGGCTCGCCCGCTGAGTTGTCCCCTCACCACACCTCCACCCTAAACCCACCACTGTGTGTTGCTACTGTTTCAAGGCCTCGATCCACCCTACCAAAATGGTTAAACAGAACCTCGGATAAAATGAACAATTTCTTCGGGTCCGAAAGAGTTCACTTTAAGCGGGCTCCACTGTATTTCTTTATATTATAAGTATTGAGATAATTATTCGCAATGCAAGCAGATTTAAATAATTTACAGGTACACTACAGCGACTTCAGAATCAAACTGCTCACATAATTCTAAAGAAATCTCTTTAAAGAACTTGTAACACCAATTCTAGATCTAATTCAACTGCACTGGCTTCCTGAGAAACCATATGTTCAGTTCAAGATAGCTATCTTTCGTTTTAAGTGTTTCAAAAAAAAAAATTGCACCATTATAATATGTTTCCGACATGGTCATCAATACGTACTATCTCGACCTTTAAGATCGGTCAATAAAAGACTTGAAACATGTTCAAATTAAGTAACTCTGAATGAGAGCTTGTTGCACACCACGTCCCATCCTTGCAGAACACATAGCCAGCACATATAGAGAGTAGACCCATTTACAAAAATTTAGATCAACGCTGAAAGTGCATTCGTGTATAGTTTATGGCCAGCTATGATATACACATTATGTTCATGCTGACCTGTAGCTGGAGACTGTGAGTGAGAGTAAGTCATCATTGATTAATTGATGTGTATGTAAGTATATATATATATATAATATATATAT